GACAAGGTTTTTTTTTAAGATAATCGAGCAGTAATAATTCCTCCGTAAATAATCTAGCTCTACTGTTGGGTCATCTCTGGTTCTCATTGAAAACCATAGATATCACAAACCTCAAAACACCAACTTTTGTATAGTAAAACTGGCGACGTACTGGCAAGATCCTTGATTAGTTTACTGGGTTTCGTTGCTGGAGAACGACGTTCTTGCCCGCCAGCCAGTACTTGTGACGTCACGTGCAAAGTATGAATAAAAGAATTGCAAATCCACACCCCAACTATAACGATAACAGCACAGAGAAACGATATCATTGGAATCACTTTCAGAATGATTTTTTTCCAGCTGATGAACGATAAAAAACATTGACAGCCAATCAGAATCCATCCTGATTTAAAGAGCTCGAGCATTTAAAGCGACAGACGACAAAACTGCAGAGTACGCTTAGAATAAAAAGAACAATATCGTACACCAGTGTGGACACCAATATAGTTATCATCATTCTTGGTGTGAACGAGCCTTATCAGCTTATATTTCAAGGTATCATATGGTTCCAAAAGACTTGAAATATAGATGCAATGCTATTATTGAAAATTTTGCTTTCCTTTTGCTTTCCACAGAAAAAGAAAGCTATGGAATGACACGAGACCATGTACATTTTTGGTTGGACTATCTCTTTAATACTTCTAGCAACTCTATTGACAGTGCTAAAGTTTAGCCAACATAACATGAACGCCAAAACCAAAAGGTAAAACGACAGACCAGAGCTGGCGGCACAGCAAACGTGTGCATACACACACACACAGAAGTACCATCAGCACAAACTCAACTCAACTCAGGTGCAAGTCTGATAAACATCCACCCACGCATGAAAAAAAAGTCTGTTTACAAGTTAGTGTGTTGTACGAGCGTTTGTATCTGTGCAAAAAGTTCAAATCGCAGACAGAAAAGTGGGCTTCAAAAACACTGTGCCACTGTTCTGGCATTCATTATTTGTTGGGTATGTCCTCAGGAGCACAGTTTCCACGTTCCCAGCGTTGTTTTGTCCCCCTGGCTCTACCTTTGTAAAAAATAAAAAATAAATCACCCACAGTCACACACATATACGCCCACTCGCCTGTCCCTTCTAAGTCGCCCTAGTCTGAACTGTTAATGTGCATGTGTGGAGGCAAGGTCAACCCTGTGTGGTCCTGCATTACCCAAACCCCCCTAATATAACGGGGTGGAGAGACTGTGTCCGTGACAGATAGAAGCTGACATGGCTGGAGAGCAAACAAACGGGCTTGTTTGTGCTGATTTGAGTGGATGGAGGACAGCACAGAATGAAAGACAAAAAAAATCATCAGGCACCCAGAGGCTGGCATTAGCAGACCTTGCCCATTGAGATCTATCTGTTGTGAAGTCACGCTGGAGTCTCCTCCATTCCTTCTGAGAAGTGACCTTGTGTTCTACTTACTGCACGGGGCGGAGGGAAATGTCAGGATAACTAGGGTCATGGTTGACAAAGTAGACTGCAAGTTTATACTGCATATTCATCTTCAATTATCAATCAGAATTTATCGATGCAACTCCAGACCCAGCTTAAAAGAGCGCAATAACAGGGTTCCAGAAGTCCAGAGAGAAATCGATTGCTAGTGAGAATGAATAAACCTTTTAATACAGACCTACTATGAGCTCTGAGGGTGAAATTGAGAAAATAAATAGACTTTCAGAACCAAGGCCGTTCAAAAACTGGGCACTCGCTATAGAGCTCTATGCATTCAGGAGCAAAGAACAGAAGACAGTTCGCGTTCTTGTATTACAAGGATTTCAAAAAAAGTTGTTGATCATCTACGAATTCCTAAAGAGCTGTAGCAAGGTCACGTGAAGGAGCGGATGAGTGCCACTATTTATGAACATCTTCCTCTGCTCTTTTATGGTGCACAACATCAAACTCATTCTAGGCTTCGATGTAGAAAACGAAGAATTTTATTTTGTGCACCAACTGAAAGAGTCAGCAATGTCATGTTCTGCAAGTCTCATCAATAACTGAGCGCGAACCCTTTAATAACGGCTCTTTTTGTCCTTGCGTAAACAGAACATATTTTTTTTACTGACCGATTCTCAATTCCTCCAGGATTTCAGGAAGTAAATAGCAGAAGAGGAAGTGCTGTCTTTAGTTGGCGGTTGGATAAGGTGTGTCATGAGTCATGTGCTTCGATCTCTTAAATAACAGCACACAGACCCGGAAAACAATTCTCACACTGTCTGTGTATTAATAACTAAATATTAATAAGTATTAATAATGTTTTGAATATGATCAAAATCCCTACATTTCTGATGTTTAATAACGTTGTTTCACTCAGACAAACACCACAGCAGAGAAGATGACTTCAACTTCTGTTTCATGGAGACAAATAATAACAATAAGAATATTAGCAAATATAGATATTTAAAATTAAGTCTTTCTTTTCCATTATAATGGGCTCTAATTTTTAAGGAAATAAAACGCTAGAACGAGAATGTCCACCCCCCAAAATACCACCTGCAATTGACAAGCAACAGTTAAAAGCATTTCACGCTTCTACTGGCAATACAAAATGGACTAGCCCTTTAAAGGGGTCATATAATGCTATTTTAAAAGTTCATTATTTTGTTTATTACGTTAATAGAATAGGATTGCAGCTCCTCTATTCCCAGTCTGAAAAGCGCTGATTTCTACAAAGCCCCTCCTTCTGAAAAGCTCAGAGTGCTCTGATTGGCCAGCTGACCTAGTGTGTTGTGATTGGCCAAACACCTCAAGCGTGTGTCGGAAATGTAACACCATAATCGCGAGCTTCAGCTTCCAAGGCTTTAAGCAATAGACCTTATTCACAGTAGGGTTGGGTAAAAAATATCGATTTCTCGATATTAATCGATTCTCATTTTTACGAACCGACATCGATTCTTAAATCTCAAGAATCGATTAGTCATCCTGTTTTCATTTGATGAATGAATGGAACATTGTAGCGCGCATCCCATCCAATAAATCGCAATAATCTTTGTGCTTTGTTACTATTGATAGCAAATAAAGTCTCAAATTTTAAATTACGTCCATTTTCTTACGAAATTCAAAAACAGAAATACCATTTTGGCGCTGTGGCGTGAGATCGCTCTGGCTCAGCTCAGCTCAGCTCAAGAGAAGCAGCAGCGCGGAGCGCACATGATCTCCTCTTCTGCCTTAATAATACCAGTTACAGCGCCAAATAAACATGAATGAACGTCTGAAAGTGTGTTAAAAGATAGAGTACAACTTATCGAAATCCGTATCATGTCACATGGAATCGCTCAATCAGTGTTTCAACCGTGGAAAGACGTCAGTAAAACAACTTGTAAACAATGTCATGTAACGTCACATTTCCCTCAGAAAAACCATATGTGACCATAAACTCGTTAGTCAGCTAGAAAAATTAACTCTAAAGAGGAGCATTTTGCTAAATATATGCACCATATTACATATTCATTACAATTTGTAATGTTCTTCGATATTTAATGCATGTTTGAATAAATCTGGCAAGTTTTTATGACAGCCACCATTTAAATGTTTATATTTCATATAACTTTATTATTATAAAAATAAATAAGTGTAATTTAAGTGTTTGTATAGCTACAAATCAGTTAATTTTTACCTTCAATATTATAGTAGGCTAATGAAGCCTATAGGCTACAACTGACTCCCATAGTTTACAGCATTAGTTAAGAGATTTGTTTTCCTTGAGAAAATTTGCCATGTATTGTACCTGATATCCAAAATAATCAATATTGAATCGAATCGAAATCGAATCGAATTGTGAAATTTGTGTCAATACCCAGCCCTAATTCACAGCAGCGCCAAGTGAGGCTGTGAGGGATAGAAATACATCTCCTCAGTGGGTTGTCCTGTTATTTCATGTTTTTGGATTGTTCTGCTGACGATACACTGCAAAAGTATCTTTCTGTAGACAAAAAACCCAGACAATATGAGCTGTGGAAAATCATAAGTGATCAAGCAGCTTTATACAGCTTTTTACAGCGGATGCCATTAAAAACAAGGTATCATCGCTTTCATACCTGTCATGATGCTGCTCTAAGTTTACTATTGTAAACACACAGAATAATGATGTCTGTTTTACATATCAGTTTGAGCTCGAGTTGCATTCTGAGAATCTGGATGATCAAGCCGATTGATCAGAACCAACTTTGCAAGCACGACTTGAGCAGAACATTTGAATGTGGTAAGTAGTCGTTGTATATAGCCGGTGTTGTACTCGTTTTTACGTAGACGTTTGAGGAAGGAATATCTGGACTTGGATCAAGCCATTTTAGGCAGGTCTGGATCAGTGAAATCCCTGAGACTATGAGCTTTGTAACTGCAGATTGCATACATGCACAAACAGATAAAAACACAAAAACAGATGCCTCAAGTTCTTTAAAGGATTAGAATTAAAATGTCCTGCTAATTTACACACACCACACGTCATCCAAGATGTTCATGTCTTTCTTTCTTCAGTCGAATGTTTCCAGGATTTTTCTCCATATAGTGTACTTCAATGGTTATCAATGGTTTGAAGGTCCAAATGTCAGTTTCAGTGCAGCTTCAAAGTCTCTACAGGATCCCAGACGAGGAATAAGGGTCTTATCTAGCCAAACCATCGGCCATTTAACCACAAATGCTCATCTTGCACTAGCACTGTGATGTGCCATGCATTACGTAATCACATTGAAAGGTAGAGTCCATTGAAGCTGCATTGAAACTGCAATTTGGACCTTCAACCCATTGGATCCCATTGAAGTCCACTATATGGAGAAAAATCCTGGAATGTTTTCCTCAAAAACCTTAATTTCTTTTTGACTGAAGAAAGAAAGACATGAACATCTTGGATGACGTGGGGATGATAAAATTACCAGGAAATTTTACTTCTGAAGTGAACTAATCCTTTAACGTCACAATTCAGTTTGACTTGGGAGAAATGATTTTCACTTGGATGGAATAGGGTGAAGACACTCACTGCTCAATGCTGGGAGATAGGTAGAGTTTTGGAAAGACCTGTGTGGCTTCAGCATCTTCAAAGCTTACAGAAAGAAGCGCCACATCCTCTCCTGGATCCAGTGCTGTGTCCTGAGAGAGGAATAAAGGAAAATAAATATTTAGAAATTGTTATATTATAGACTGTATAGACAATCAAATATGCGGTTGGCAAGATATTACAAAACAAGGCTGTGCATGCTAATGCTAAACCTATTAATCGGTTCATATTTGCCTTTTGAGATTATCAGCATTGAGCAACAACTGTGTCTGCTTGGCTGATAAACACACATCCAAACATCAGAATGCACTTTTTTTTCCCAAAGATAATGTGTAAAATGAAAGCAAATGTATGTTTCATATTCCTTTGTGTCATAACATATACGGACTACCCTGATTAGCGGTTCTTTGGTTAACTGGTGGGCGGCGAATATTTGGTTGTGGACAACAGATCTGATCCAATATCCTTCACAGAGGCTATTGTAAAATATCTATCAAAGCTTAGAACAGACAAAAGTCCTCGAGATTTCTACGACATGAATTGATTTCCGCATTAACATCGCCCACGTAATGATACGTCACATGAATGGTCAAGTAATCTTATGCTTAGAAAGACATTTTTTTAATTCTGGGTATGGTCTTATAATGCAGGAACATAGCATTGAGGATAAAGAGCCGGATGAAAGTTGTGAAAGGCCTTTAGCTGGCAGAAAGACCAGCCCGGCTGGTGCTGAGCGACTCCTCATCTGAAGGTGGTGTGGGATTTTGGCAGGAAAAGACTACAACCAGAATTCACGCTGCATTAGCTTTAGCTTCAGCTACGGCCACATCTGCCAATCTCGAGCTCATCACATCAGAAGTTTCCGCAGGGACCCTAGATGATCCTTTCTGTTCCTGTGCTGTTTTCCTAGAGCTAGGCCCTGACGAACGTCATTAGCACCATGGCGGGAACGAAGGGCTTTAATCAAATGTCTTTCAGTCGGTTTGAACTCATCCATTTGTGATAATTGCTGCCTGCCGTGTAACCTCTGCTCCCATTAGAGCGAGCCGTGTGTGTTGGATTTGTGACGTTACCAGTTAGAGGGGACGTGTGCGGGATAAGCTAACGCATAACTCAGTGAGGCACATTGAGGTCTGGGCAGAAACAGCGAGCTCAGCCTTGATATATGTGAATGGGACACATATTCAGCAGAGGCGGCCTGACAGTCTACTTGATGTTATATCAAAACGGTTCTCTCATCTCTAACAGAATTGAACTGCTCTGGCTAGTCCAATTATGAGTGTCACAGATTTATCTGCTACATTAGAATTACACAGAATACATTAAAATCCCCAAAACAACAAATGTTTTAATTTATTCTGATCACAGTTGAGTCTAACACTACAAGACTCATGTTTTTAGTTTGCTCTTGTGATGCTGGTGCCCGTCGCAGCAATGTTGTAACGTAGCGTGTATTGGGATTTTGAACACAACTGACAATGATGCATGAAATCTAGTTTGTGTTTCTGTTTATGTACTTGCATTGAAAACTTTATAGCCCTTTTCACACAGAGATTCCAGGAAATACACCGATAATTTGTCCCGGGATTGTTTGATTTTGGTTCATTCATACTGCCAGTGATTTTCACACACATCCCGTAAAGATCCCGTGAAGACACATGACATCGATGTGACGTCTCCACAGCGTCTAAAGTTTGCTTATGATCTGCGTTTTCTCCACGCTCGTACATTTTTTTTCTGATTATAAACTAGCTCATCGTGTACCGTTCCACTAAGCTGGCGAACGATATCAGCTTCAGCGTCATCACTACGACACACACCTTACAACATTGTTTACGGCTTTTGTTCACACAGTTACAAAAAGTAACTGTCCCAAAGTAATACAGTCCCATTCCGGGATCGATCCCGGGACATGTTTGTGTTCACACAGAAGACACTCTGGCAATTTTCAGGGATCAACATGCAGTGTGAAATGTTTGACCTTAGATGTTTACGTTCATTAAAGAAGAAACCCTGCACAAAATAAGAGAAAATTGTAATGGCAATGTTCTGCCAGGACATTATCCGTTTAGTTTACATACATTTAATTTGACTTTAAAACACAACACAATGAGTTATTCAACATACAGGTAAAACACCTGTGGGCCCTATTTTTAAGGACTTTTTTTTGTGTCATGATTCACACTGTTCACTACTCGAGGTTAACAATTAATCCTGGGTATTCATATGCTGACGTTTCACACTGTACATTCCTAAACCCTGGGATAACATTGGCATATTTTTTATCATTGTCATTGATTGGAAGAATGCAGCATTCGACCGGTTTACATGAAGGCTCCAGCGTTGCACACCCTCATATTTTGTCGACTGTACAATCAAGCTTTTCTTGAACTTCTCTGACTACAGTATAAAGGTAAGAATGAAATGGTCTCTTCTTCACACCAACAGACGTGTTTTCCATCACCATTTGACATTTTTCCCCTTTTTCTGTGGCTGTCCAAAGCACATGAATATGAGGCACGCGATTGGTTCTCTGTTGCTAAGCATCTAGCTGTATCATTCTAACACCACACTGTTTCATGCAAGTTTGGCACCGCAATGCGGGGTTTAACACCACTTCTGAATTAAACTTTCTCTACCCGGGGTTAAAAGCGGGGTTTACAACGATGATAACCTGGGGTTAAGTGCATGTGAAAAGCCCTATTGCATTATGTTGTGTTTTAGGATTGAAGTAAATGTCATAAAAACGTTTCTTTTTTTTTAAAAATCTAAATCTTTTAAATTTTTTCTACTGATTTTTGTTTTGTTTTGTTACGGTGTCTTACACTAAAGCGTATGATGACATATGTTTCATGTTGTTTCGTAAGCTCATTGCTCATCAATATGTAATACTGTGAATTGGAAATATTGGTCCGATAGTTTCAAAGCCTTTTGAAATGAATGTAGCCTCCAGGACTGGTACTGGAAACATCCAAACAGATAAGCTTCAAAGCATTTAAAGCCATGTTTGAGACTCACAAATTCAGCAAGAAAGCTTGAGTTCATTACTTAAGATTTGAAAAATGTTCAAAATGTTTTAACAAGCAGGATGGACCTTCTGGGGGTAGAAACCAAGCATTCAGCAGAATGGGTCTGCTGTTGAAAAGCATCTATTTGATGAAGCTCTGAGGGCAAACGTGTGAATCTTTATGAACACAAAAAGGAACGAAATGTCAAGCGCAAAGCTGATGGCTACCCTTGTCGTCTGTCTCTTCTTGCTCTTCATCAGCCGCTATCATACGACATGGACCTGAGCGGGGTGGGGGGGGGGGGGGGGGGGGGCGTCTACATCCCAAGGTGTTGCTTGATTTAATCAGCTTGCATCAGTACAGCATTATGGTATGACCCATGTTCCCAGAGACATAATTCATTCTTGCTGATGGGCATTGGTGGAATTGATGGGTTATGGCTGCCACAAGAAGGAGATGAAGCAGAAATATTCTTGTGTGACTGGTATTTGCATAGGAACAAACATTGAATATCATTTTGAAGTCGTTCTCCAATGACAAGAACGAAACAAACATTTCTAGTCAGTTTAATAAAGTAAACGCTATGAAACACTGTGTGTTGCATTGACCTACAATGAATACATTTTAAGTAGTAAAAAATATATATATATATATATATTATTAGGCAAGATAGACATATATTTGACTATTTTACAGCTTTGAATATGCGTGATTATCCAAATTTAAGGATTCAACGACACAAGCAAAGGTCAATAAAATGTTGCAAACTCCAGTATATTTAATTACAATGAGAAGCAGTTCCAAAATATGACTGGGCAAAAAGTTCTCTGCTGCTTGTTTTACACCGCCAGTTCAAATGAAAGTATCAAGAAAGCAGTAATGCTGTGTTGAAAAGTCAATAACCTGGCAGAAGGAAGCAGGCAATTGTCTTTAGCATCAAGTCACTGTTTTGCTTATGAAACCAATTTCAGAACACAATATATACACTTCCTTCTAACTTACTTTGGTAAGAAAGCATCTGCCAAAGCAAGTAAGTGTATAATCATTGGCGCTTTTACTACAGACAAAGGATGAGACAGCAGAAAAAGGACTGGAGTGCAGGGTATCGACTAGAGGTTCCTCCAAAAAAGTCAAAGCAAACACACTCTTTTAAACAAAAGTTCCCCTGCAAAAGGTCTAAATTTGAGTATACTTGTTAACATCTAAAAAAGTCAATTTTTTTATAAAACTTTTTGTAATACTGGTTGAAACTCTCTTCACATCCTGATAGCAATCAATTATAGGAGTGGACTAAATATTAAAACATGTACATATATCTTCTGTCAAAGTCCCAGGACCAAGATAATTTCATGTAATGATTCGATGTCCTGTCAACATGTATGTCCATACCTCCACACACCTGCTCGCGCACACATCACACGTCATCAGTGTTTTCCGTAAGGCTATGCAGAGTTGTAGACAGACGTCAGTCGCAGAGAGACACAAACAAACAGCAGCCACTTTTACAGTTCCTCCTGAACCAAAACAATGAGCTTATGCAGCGTTCATGCCATGACATAACCGTAATTATGAGATGGAAACCCGTGACGTTCTACCCGAAGCTGTTCACGTCCTCAGACTTGGATTTATGTGTTTCTATGTCAACACTATCAATGCTGAAATGAATCTGCAGCAGTCAGGTGGTACAATTACAGCACTGTAAGTTGTTTACGTTCATTATTATTGTAAAGTTATGTGCTTTGAGACATGAGGTAATTTAACGGTGTCGCTCGTGTCTCTTTGCAGACTCTGCTTCGAGTGGTCATGTGATTTGGAGGAGGCGTGGCTTTGGAGACGCTCTGAAGGGAGGGTGGGACCTCAAGCTTTCAAAGCTAGATCGCTATTGCTAGCCTCTCTGAAATTGCCAACCCTACCTTTAACCTTTAATATATGTTAAGCAGATCGAAAGATCTTGTGCATTCACATACGAATCAATGTTAAAAAATCTTGATTCGTCTATTTTTATAATCATAAAATGGATGCTAATAATGAAAGTTATTTTAAAATCCTTTAAATCAAGTTTTAAAATCCATATTTTAACATAG